CTCTCTCTCTCTCTCTCTCTCTCTCTCTCTCTCTCTCTCTCTCTCTCACACACACACACACACACCGTTTAGTGGATTCCCCTACAACTCCTTTCACCAAAAACCCAGAACTGTCCCAATTAAGTCCAGCCACGAGCAGACCAATGCTAGTCTGCAGAGCAATGGCCCGTGAGTCCTCAAGGCACTTGAAAGTTTCCCAACCAAAATAAACAGGCAAAATTCAATCCACAACACAAGAGGGTTCACGAGGCAAAAAAGGTCCAGAGTTCACAAGGCGCGATCCAAGTCAAGGCAGGGTGTCCATCCAGAGCAAGGCAAGAATCACAGCCATCAGAAAACAAGAGAGCAAGAAGAAAGGGATTATTATAAGATATGGGATTTATTTTATGGATGGTTAGAAAGTAGAGTAAGACATTAAAGGATATTATATAAATGATGTATTGAAATTTTACTTTAAATAAGTTATAATATGAATATATTTAGTAAGAGAGGATAAGCTCTCAAAGATAGATAGTAACTGAAATTAAAAAACTAATGATACTGTAACAATGATATAATTTGATGTGATACACAATGTTGATTAACATGAATGTAAATTTAACCAGAAATGCATATAAACATCATAATGTGCACAAGAAATATGTACCCAGATGACACACTGTATAATTGAAAGATGATTTTTATTTGTTTTTGTTGTAAAAATAAAAATCTCAAGAAAGAAGAAAGAAAGAAAGAAAGAAAGAAAGAAAGAAAAAAAGAAAGAAAGAAAGAAAGAAAGAAAGAAAGAAAGAAAGAAAGAAAGCAAACACACAGCTAGGAAATGAACATGTTCCCAGCATCACTTCCATCTGTCTGCTGGGATCTGGTACAGCCCATCAAGAAGGGCGAGGCTGCCTCCTCGCGAGTAATCTGGGTGACATTCTCTGCTCATGCCTTTTCTCTGCCCTATGTGTTCTTGGATGCAGAAGGCCGTTCCTTCTTCTCATCGCTGACCAGCTGCAGCCACATGCTTTCCCCACCTGAAGCTTCTGGGCTGTCCTGTGCTGTGCTTCAGTCAAATCCCTCTCAGACAGTTGCTTGGAGCCATTGACCAACTCCTCTCCGGATGGGCCTGGAACTGGTTCATTCTCCACTGAGCTGACATCTAGAGATATATCTGGGGAAGCATCCAGAGGAGTCATCACAGGTCCTTAATAAGGTAACTGCTAGTTTTCTTCCCGTTGCAAATGGCAGTTTCCTCAGAGGACCTGGGTAAGATGGCCTCACATGGCCAGCAGTTCCTTCATGAAAGACTAGGCTGGGCATGCCTTGACAGTAGGAGGAACAAGAAGATGGCACAGATGAGCTGGGCCAGTGGAGTACAGGGTGGGGAGTCTGGCTGTAGCTGAGAAAGGGCTGATGCTGCTATGGCTTTGCGCTACCAATGCAGCGTGGCATCCCATGGTTGACTTTGCATTGTGCAACTGCAGCAACTGGTCTTCATGCTGCGGTTCAGGGTTTCTTGCCTCAGTGTCATGACACACCAGAAGAAGCATGGCAAGCAACCCCAGAGCCTTACAGTTATAGTGCTCCTTCTTGTAGGGCAAGGACACCCAAAAAGGGCAGAGATTTTTTTTGGGGGGGAGGGCAGAATTGGAAGCAGTCTTTTTCCTTACTGAGGCTTGGAGTGACCAAGCCTGAAATGGCTTGAATTGGGGTGGAGCCTTGGGTGGAATTTGATTAAGGACGGCAATGGGAAATGCCAGGATTGCAGTAGCTAAGCAATGTGTTCATGTGACTTCGCATTTTGACTGCATTGCTTAGTGATGAAAAATCCAGCTCCTTATTACAGTCATAATTCAAGGACTAGCTATATACAAAGAGGCACAACACACGACTGCCCAGAAATATTTTATCTCAGGGGTGTCCAACCTTGGCAACTTTAAGACTTGTGGACTTCAACTCCCAGAATGCCTCAGCCAGCTTTGGACACCCCTGTTTTATCTGCTATTTAACATTTCCATGTTGTTAATTTTCTGATTTTTTTGCAAGTTATTCTTGATCATTGATTCATTTTTATAATCTGAATCTCAAGTGTTGACTGACAAGTTGAATCTTTTACAACACCACAATAATATATCACATCAGAATATACTGTGAAATAGAAGACAATCAATTCCCTAAACTACTCTATTCTCCGCACCACAATACTGTAGCCAAATGGTTCTTGAAATCTGGCAAGCTTCTAATCAAATGTACCAAATATCAGACAACCAAAATATAGCAGCTACATCAAGTAGCATAAGCCCAAAATAATAGTCTTTCCCCAATCTGCACACAACTATCAAGGACAAGAGGCATTTCTACTTCTACTGATCCAGCTTTCCAGGATTGTCCCACATAGAACTCACAAGCAGGAGCATCAGATGGGCAGGTAGCCCTCACCAACCACAATTAGGACTGGCAACTCTGTGGCTAAATCATGTTGCCATGTCCAACTTACAATGGCAGTTCGTCAGTTCCAGCCCCCATCGTTAAGGAAATCACACGGATCATTGTTCCCAATATCTTACAACCCTGTAAGTTCCTTCAGGCTTCCCCATTGAGTTTGTTTGTTGGAAACCAGCTGTGAAGGTTCCAAGTGGCAATCATGTGGCCATGGGATGTTGTGACTGCTGTACAGGTAGTCCTTGACTCACAAACATTTGTCTAGAACCATTTATGATACTGAAAAAATGACTTTGACCAGTTTTCATATTTACGACTGTTACAGTACCCGCATGGTCACATGGTCAAAATTTCAGGGGCTTGACAAGCGGCATGTACAGGAAATCCCCAACTTACAACAGTTCACGTAATGATCAAAGTTACAGCAGCACTGAAAAAAATGACTTATGACCATTTTTTACACTTACAACCTTTGTAACAGGTCCATGATCATGTGATCAAAATTCAGATGCTTGGCAACTGGTTCATACTTATGACTGTTGTTGTTTCCCAAGGTCATCTGATCATCTTTTGCAACCTTCTGACAAGCAAAATCAATGGGGAAGCCAATAAAAATTGTGTAACTAACTTATAAGCCAATGCAATCTGAGCAATTGATATTGGCATATTATAACATGCTTCCACAATGAAAAGCTAACAGCATTTATAAATACTGACCAGACTTAAAAATATATTACGACCAAGATGACTAGCCATCTTAAAATACAGACATTCTGTACTGAGGTAAACAGAACTTTTCAATATATTTAGAAAAAGAATCATAACAATTGGAAAATATGAATTACTACGGAAGCTGTTATACTGTGAATCAGACTATGCCTGGCATACTTTTTACAGGCTGAGCTAGCTATCTTTTGTACCTCCAGCCTGTAGCAGCATTTTAAACAAAACTTCAGTCAGACACTGTACTGTGGTTCCTATAATTTGGGTAAGCAGAGTTCGCTTAATTCGTCAAGATGTTTTGCCTACAACCAAATTTTGTCCTCCTTTAATGTTTCCTGGGGAAGTGACACAAGTTCTCTTTTTCAGTTCAGTCTGCTGCTTGCTATGCCTACCTCACAGTGTCTATATACTAACCCCAAATTCAAAACGAATAGTTCTTGTACTTTGAATTACAACTCACATCATATATTGACTGTTTCCTAGTATGATTTGATTTGATTTATTGTACCTTATGACTATTATTAATCATGGTACCTGATGATTTTTGACTCTTGATGAATGTATCTTTTCTTTTATGTACACTGAGAGCTTCTGCACCAAAGACAAATTCCTTGTGTGTCCAGTCACACTTAGCCAATAAAGAATACTATTCTATTCTATTCTATCACTATCTCCTGCAAGGGTCCCAATGGCCCAGACAGAGACAGTTGGATTGACAGCATCTTCCGGTAAAGCTAAGATCCCAATTTACGTGTCCAACTTCAGGCATTAATCTGGGAAAGTCTACCTGAAGATGTTGTAGGGCTGAAAAGGCTTCTGAAATGCACAACAGATGTTCTACCAAAGAATTATTCCCAAACTATTACAAAAAGTGACACTGAGTATTTCATACAGTAAAACTGGGAGGAGTGAAAAGCAGAACAGAAATGTTTACCCAGAAGATTCGCATCTTTGTTATTCTATCCACCTCAAGAATATCTAAAGACCTAAATTAGTGAGGATTCTTTTATTTTTTAAAAGAGAGGCAAAAGGGATGAAAACTCAACAAATAATAATGGGGGTGTGGTAGTGGAAGCAGAAACAACATCAAGCACTGAAATGATGCAGGAAAGGCGTTAAAAATAGGAACATTAAAAAAAACAAGTAATGCTCTTAATACCGTCAAGGCTCCTTATTTAAAATAATACGGTTTCGAACCCCCCAAAAGTTTTTTTTATGGCACGGTGGGGGGGGGGGGGGGGGCCTCGGGCTTAAGCGTCGACCACGGAAGGGACCATTTTAACGGGCCAAAGCCGTTTGTATTTTTCTCTCCGATACAAACCCAGCAACCGGCCCATCGATGAGCCGACGGCCAAAAGCCAACCGGGAGGAAAGGGGGGGAGGGGAGAGGGAGGGGTAAACAAGGGCTCCGCGGCCCCGGATCTCTCGCTCGCTCGCGACGAGACTCGGCCCTGCCTCCCGGCGACCCGCGAAGGAAGAGGCCCTCGGAGGCCCGAGAAGTGCCCGGCCCGCGGGACCCGCTCCGCGCCTCACCCTTGGCAAGGGCCACGGTAGAGTTCTCGGTGTCGATGGTGTAGAGGATGCCCTCGTAGCGGATCTCGGCCTTGGAGATGAGGCTGATCTTGCTGCCGATGTAGGGCGTGCCCCCGCTCATGGCGCCGCCGACCCCGCCCGCCGCCGCCGCCGCCGCCGACCCCGCTTCCTTTTGGAGCTAGCGGCCTCCGGGCTGCAGCCGACCCAACGCTCCCAATATGGCGAGCCACCGCCTTCACCACAGCGCCACGAAATGGATGCCGGGAAACAGCAGCCACCTCTCGCGAGAACTGCGACGGGAGGCAACGGAGAATGCGTGGCGGGGAGCTAGGGTGCTACGGATTTTGGGAGTTGTAGTTCGGCTCGGCTCGCCTGCCAGGCCGGTCGGTGGATGCCCGAGAAGGCGCGGCCTCCACGGGCCTTCGCCGCCACGATGGTCTTTGTGTTGCTCTCGGGGCCTGGTCGCAGCACTGTCCCGGACTTGGCGGCCCCCTCACGCAGGCGGGCCTCTCGCGCCGCAAGGCCCAGGATCCTCCCGGCTCGCCCTCTGCCTCCGCCGGGCTGAAGGGCCCCGTCCCGCCTGCCGGCCACCTGAATTTCGCGGGGGCAACGGACTAGCGAGCTGAGAAGCAGGACGAAGAGGAGAAGGCCGCGCTAACCGCGGGGAGATTTTCCCTCGGGAGGACCGTCGAGGTAGCCCGAGGAAGGCCGAGTCGTAAAGCGGGAGAAACTCGGGAGGATCCAGGCAGCGCTGTCGCTTGGCGACTGTTTGCCTCGCGCGGGAGGAGGCCGAAGGCGCCCGGAGAGAGCAAGGCAGGCCTGGGGACGAGGGCCTGAGGAGGCTGGGTCCGGCATCTCGACCCCTGCCCTTAACTCTGAATATTGGGAGTTGTGGGAGGAGGGCAGCCGGGCTTAAAGCCTTCAAAGTTGACACAGACAAACTTCCAAGTGGCCTCAACAACCCTCTGAAAGGATGCAAATGACCAGCTGCCTGCAAGGAATGTAAATCCTTCCATTCCCCACCATCCAGTCAGAGCTGAAGAAACTTCTTGGATGAGAAGCGAGAGACGTCTTCAAAAGGAAAAAACAAGAAAATCCAGTTGCCTCCTTGAAAAAGCACCTTTGGGACCTTCAAAGTTGTTATGGCAGTATGGCCCATTCAGAAAGAAATTTAGAACAGGCACTCTTTCACACTATTTATTCGTTTATCTATCAAATGTGTATAAAATGGTCCATCCCATGATTGTGTAGCATACCTCAAAACGCTTCTTCCTAGTCGATCTGTGCAAATCCATTTCCTGTAAACCAATGGTCCCCAACCAGTGGGAACTTACAGATTTGCACAGATTTGCACAGGAAGAAGTGTTTTGAGGTACACTATGCAATTATGGGATGGATGGCTTTCTACAGTTTGGCAAATAAATGAATAAATAGTGTGAAGAAGTGCCTGTTCTAAATTTCTTTCCAATTGGCTTCATGATGGCCTTCACCCCATTATTTTATGCATCTTCACCTTACTGGACCACAATGCCCCCCTTTGCATGTTGCTGTATTCCACAGCACCCCTCCCCAACCTGCTCATCCCAGGCCCAGCACTCTGCTGTTCCAAAGCACCTACCTGCAGGCCCACCCACCAACACCTCCCCTTAGTTTACTAATTTTGAAATATCAAGATGGCGGCGCCCAACTAGGAAGGTGAGGCTCTCGCTTCTGGAGCACTTATCACCCTATAAAGCCACCGCCTGTACCAGAAATCACCTTCAAAGCTGCCGCCTGCTCCAGAAACCGTGAGTAAACCGGAGCCCCAAAAGTGCTGGATTCCGAAGCCCTGGAATCCTAATCACGCCAGCGGAGCTCCTGCTAGCCGGAGCAATTGGACCATTATCGGCCTTCGGAGAGCCTTCCAAAAACATTAAACCAGAGCCCAAAAAAATCATGCTGAATTCCAGAGCCCTTCCCTCCTTCCCCAGAGAAGCGGAGCTCCTTCCCTCGAGCCCTATTAACCACATCGGCAGAGCTCAAGCTAGCCTTAGCTCTTGAACTGGATCACTTGGAGTCAGCGGAGCGCAAACAACGCACCTTCATTTAAATCCTCCACACAGCTAATCGGAGTATCTTCCACGCCAGATGATGTGTCTCCATTCAAATCTCCCACACAGTTTCCCTGGAGCCACAGCGGATAGCTGGCAGGGAGAAACAACAAGGGAGGAGAGAGAGAGAGAGACCAAGACTTGAGGAGAAGCAGATAGAGATAAGAGCCAGGACGAGCTGTGATTTATGAGAGAGTGATTAGGACACTTACAGAGAGACTGATTCTGAGAGTGAGCCACTCAATGAGCTGTGACTGGTGGCGAGTGTGATTCTAAACTCCAGAGAGTGTGATTCTGAATGGCTGTGAATTACGGAAAACTGAGGAGACTCACAGAGAATCAATAGACCCTACAGTCTCCATTTAAATCACCCTGCCGATTAGTCAGCCTGCATTTTAAATTCCCACTCATCTGATTGGACAACCTCCACTTAACCCCCACTCAAATCTCATCCATTCCAAACTCCCAAGTAGGAGGTTGGTGAGTTCATTCAAATCTTCTCCATTCAAATCTATCAAGCAGCAACGCTTCCTCTTGAAAAAAACAAAACAAAACCAAAAACAAAACGTGGCTCTAAGGAAAAAAACAAAGGAACTTTTCACTACAAACCTCCAATACTTCACTACCTCCACTATTTCATTACCTCAAGACCAAATATTGATAGATAATGCTTTGTCTAAAATAATTGATTTATCATCTAATAGTATAATAATTAATTGTTAAATGACCACTAATTTACTGATTCATTTAATTGATAGAGATTTAATACTGTATCATTGATTATCTAGTCGATTGATCGATTGAATAATTTTTAGTAATAAGTAACCTTACTTTTGATTTGTTCTCTAATTTATCAATTAACATTTATTAACCACCAACATTCATTAAGTAACTGTCTACCTTTCACATTAATTAGCTATTGGAATTGTTTAGTGTACTATTGCCATTGACCATGCCAGCCAAAAACTCTAAACACCTCCACTACCAAACAACAACAAAAGAATATCTCTACCAATGACCTCCAAGACTCCTGCACATGCTTCAGATGTCTTGAAACCATCAATGAAAGCGAAAATAACATCAAATGCCACCTATGTGACAATCAAGCCCACCTTACCTGCTTAAACTTAAAAGCCTAGCTGATCTACTAAAAAAATCAGATACATTCCCTTGTCTATGTCCATCATATTCTCCTAAGCTAAACAAACTACCCTGCCTGACAGAGTTGAAAGCATAGAATCACTCATTCACTCAATAGAAGAACGCTTAACAGTGCTCTTTGAAACAACTATACAAGCAAGCCTACTCTCTCTTGAAAAAAAAATACAACACAGATAAGTGATTACCTGTCAGCTCAAAATCAAATCCCAACTCAACAACCACTACCACAACTACTACCTCAACTACAATCACAACTACAACCAAAAATAACCACTAAACCACAGCCACAAATAATTACTATCCCATCAAATACAAATACAACAAATGATATTCCCTTACTCATCAGAGACATAATGGAACATGATCAGAAATGTCCAAATGCCATCTTATTTGGTTTTGAAGACACCAACGAATCAGACAACATCACCAAAGTTCGCAATATCATAAGCAACTCAAATACAACAAACATCTCTCCTGAAGATATTGAAATAACCAGAGATGGCCCTGAGTTCAAATACAATGGCGGCTCTGTGGCCCCAAGATTTTGTAGAGTTGTTTGCAAAAATGAGTCCAGCAAACGTATATTCATTCATACAATAAATGCCATTGCAAAAACCAATCTCACCCATAAAAAACTGCTCAAGACCAGACTTATTCATACTGCAAAGAATCCACTCCTGTGAACTCCGCACAGAACTCAAAAAACATCTAGACAACGGAGTAAATGACCTGTACATTGACTACCGTGCTGATTGCATCAAAAGAAAGTCACACAACCCGCAACTCCCTTTCAACCCTACCCCATCCAATCCACCATCACTCAAAACTAGGCATGCATGCCCCTAACTACCCCTAATTACCTCTACAACTGGCTTTAAATGCAAGCTACTCAATGCAAGAAGCCTTGTAAATAAAATACCTGAATTTCTCCTTACTAAATACGGCTAAATTCGACATCATATTTGTCTGTGAAACATGGCTCAATGCATCTCTCCCTGACTCCATTACCACAGTAAGAGATTATCATGTTTACCGATCTGGTCGTGAAATCCCTAGAGGAGGTGGTATTGCTATCTTCTATAAAAAAATCCTTACATCTAAAAAATATCCAAGTTACCCAGGAGCTTGCCCTTCCTGAGACCATCGTCTTTGAACTGTCCTTAAATATCACATTTCGATTCTTACTATAATCAGAGCCCCTGATTATGACATCGAACATATATACAAGTTAAATTCACTACTAACATGGGCAACATCCTGCCCACACTTCCTTCTTTCTTGGTGACCTTAATCTACCTCATATTAACTGGACCCTAAATAAATGTAAAACTGAACCCATACATACAACCTTCTACAATGCTGTAACAAATCTGGGACTGGAATAACTAGTAACCAACAATACTAGACTTAACAACTGCCTTGATCTCATCTTCTGCAATAGTTTGAATTCAATTTACGGAATATAAATTAAAGAACCCTTTTCCAACAGTGACCACAATATGATTGACTTTTGTCTCAACATACGCCCACACAAAAATCATCACAATGACGTAATCCCCAATTATAACTTCAAAAAAGGCAACTATGATCTTATAGACAATGATCTCTCATCTCTTGTTGGTAACTACTATTCACTAGATGAAATACTGTTGAAGACCATTACAACATATTCTTACTAGAAATCAAAAGAACTATCAAACTATATGTACCAATAACAACTCCCAAAACCAGGAAAAACAGATTACCCATAACAATAAGGAAGCTTCAATCCAAAAAGAGATCACTTTGGCGAAAAAACAAATCTGATCACGTTGCCAACTTCAAAAGCCGATACAAAAATCTATGCCACCAGGTAAAAAATGAATGCACGAATTATCACATTAAACAAGAGGAAAACCTACGCACAAATTCCACCCGCGCTTTCTACAATTTTGTAAACAACAAACTAAAGGTCTATCCCACCCCTGAGAGGACCTAATGGTAAAGAC